CAGAGAAATTTGAACAATAGAAGAGAAAATTATAGTGTGTGTGCATTGTGTTTTGTGAAACATACTATAGGCAGTGTGTTTATAATAGTAGTCAAATTCATCTAGAGAAATTTGCCACTAGCAGAGAAAATTATTGTGTGCATTATGTTGTGTGAGGTCAAATTCATCTACAGAAATTTGCCAATAGCAAAGAAAATTTCTAATGCACCAACACAGTGCATTAGAAATTACATGATCATATAGGCAACCTCTTGGCAAGATACAAGTTAAATTTCTCAGTGAATTTGTGGTAGTTCATACCAGAGAAATTTCTGCAGACAATTTTCTCTGTGTGGATTGTGTTGACAATCACAATAAAAATATATATATATTTAACCATTGATAGGTATGAAATTTACATTAGTCAAAAAAGGATATATACATATATGTCAAGCATCATCACTCCTTCAATGTATGAACAAAGAATTGAATGTTTAATACTGTGTGGATATATACATATATGTGAGACAATTTTCTCTGTGTGAATATGTACATTGTCTTCCTTTCACTAGTTTCACTATTACATTTGTGGTTCTTCTGGAGGTATTTCAATTGGTTCAGTCCATGGCCGGCCAACTTCGGTCACAAATCTCTCTATGAGTTCTGCCCTCATCAACCTTATCTCTTGTGTGGACAATTTGGAGCTGATAGGTTCATGCTTGCTATATTGTTTCATTATATAGCAGACAAAGAGGCCACAATCCAGACTGCATACAAATTATAGGTATGGTTAGTTTTAAGAAACATGCAAATTAGATTATCTTATTTATAGATGTATGAAACTTACGAATCACTTTCTTGTTGTGGAGCATTGTTGACATACTCAAAGTCGTAACTTGTGTTTTGTGAGTTTATTAATTTGAAAGAGGGTTGTGATTGAGCGTCTCTTTCAAGGCAAGCTTTCAAAAAAATCTCCACGTAATCTTGCTGCAAAAAAATAATTTTTAAATAACAGAGAAATTTACGGACAAATCAATGAGATTCTATGAAAAATATCATCACATAAAGCTGGTGATGGATCAGAGAAATTTGCACTCGTTACCAATTGTTTTGCATCT